GTACATACTCGTACATTCCGTTTAGCCGCAAGAATTGAGGATTTGCCTCATGTGTGTGTGTGTGTATTTGTAAACAAGATCTGTTGATTGTTGCATTTGTTGTAAACATGCTCGTTTAATGGCCAAGATTGAGGCACAATTTGGCTTAGAGATTTTGTTTTTTAGTTACGATTATAATTTATTTATTTTTAAATGCATGGAAAATGTTTATTTGTCAATGGCTTGCACACGCAAAGTGTTTTTTCCTGAAGTATCTGAAGAATGGATTTTGTCGGCAGATTAAAGAAGATACGAACTCTTGAAGCAATAGTTTGGTTCTTAGAAATTTGGTTTTTTCGCTCCATAAAAGAGTGAAATCTTCAGTACAATATTTTCTTTTCTTTTGCAATATTTTTCCTGCAGCGTTCTCTAAGAATTCCCAGAACAAACGCCAACACCCACGCCTCTCTTGGCATATTATTAATTCATACAATGGCAGTGCAGAACTTTGTTGACAATATTTTACACTGGTTTACACTATTTTTAACAGCTACACTGCAAGAAAGGGCTGCCTGGCTGCCTGTGCCTCGCCCCCAGGGTCTGCTGATATTGTGGCTGACATTGAGCGTGTGCCAAAGCAAACTAAGTCCTCACCTCATTAGCGATCAAAACTTATGACCAATTAGACGACATATTAGACGCATTTTCAAGTTCTCAGCTACTGCTAGATGTTAAATCTAAAATAATTGAAAGTTTATTATTCTATGAAGCATATTTTCGGTAGTGTTTGGGAAGAATTGGAAGAAAACTGAGCTAAGCAGCACTGTGAGAAAAATATCAAAGGATTGCAGAGAATCCACTTTGGAAAAGAAATAGGCAAAAAAGATTTATTAAAATAATTTTTCTTATAAAATCCTCAAACCATTATATTTCTCTACATAATCTTTGAACCTCTCTAAATATACATATTAAAAATAATTCGAAAATGTACCATCATAATTACCTGCCCCTCCAAAAAAACAAAAATATTTTGACATTTCCGTAACAAATTTTTATGCTGTCAAAATGCTAGCAAAAAAAAAAGGAAAAACCTAAATTTATGTTAGCTAATTTAGAGGCCTACAGCCGTTGGCTGTCATGGATTTCAGACCAAAAGAAAATTTTAAGTAGACGCGTCAGCGAGTTTTCATGTTCTAGCCGGAAAAACTAAGTGCCCGGCAATTGCCCTGGGGAGCAGCAGTGGCAGTGGCAGTGGCAACAATCAAAATTTAAAACAAACAAATGCTATGCTTGGGGCCTCGGGGGCGGCCAGAGACCAAAGTTAATGCCAGTTCAAGTCACTCTAGAGAGGACAGCAGACTAGCGGGATGGAGAGGCCACTATAGTGTGTAAAAGAGAGGGCAAGAGTGAGTAAGGGAGAGGGAACGAAATTACGCATAAATCTTTCAATTGTGTTTGGATTTTGGGTCGAAGTTAATAGCCGGTGGATCGGTGGATATATGCCCCCCCTGGGAAACGGTTAGTGAACTTTCCTTCGCGTTGCACTTTTCTCTTTTCGATTTTTGTTTTGTTTTTGTTTACGAGAGAGAGAGAGAGAGAGGGAGAGACAGATATGTATATTGTACGTATTGTATACTAAAGGTGGATGGATTGTAAGATCTAGGCATACCCTCACAATGTTTGCAACATTTTGCTGGTGGCTCATCGCAGGCATCGGCATCGGCAATGACCGGCATCGTCCCCAGCCCTTTTGCTCTGCAACACTTGCACTTGCAACACCAACTGGAGCGTATAGACTCCGGCGAGTCCTCTGTCGTCCAACGCCTCCTTTTTGTTGTATGATTGGAGAGGGGCACGGACGTCACACCACGACTGTCGTCGTCTGTTGCCGGGATGGATGGCAGCACATCACTTAATATCTCACTCGAACTCGAACTCGCATCAATAGAAATTTGTATGATATCCACTTCCACGACACTTTTTTTTGTTGGAGACACGCGCACACACACACGCGCGGGATTCACACTCACGAGTGTTGATTTTGGGGCAGGATATTCTTTCCGTGACTGGAACCACCTGTGGGTCAGGTCAAGTTCCGTTTCGATGCCGAAAAATCTGTATCCGTTTTTTCTACAGGTTTTCCTCCGTTTCGTTTGTTTTGCTGTTTGCTGCTGCTGCGGCTGCTATATGGAATGTTGGCGTATTCATCGATCGATCGGTATTGGGTTAACACTTTTTGCTTTTGCTTTTTACGGTTATCTGGGGCGATCCTCACGCGGTACGCTTTCGTCTGCTACTGATGTTGGGATGTTGTTGATGTGTTATGTTGAATGCTGAATGCTGAATGCTCTTCTCTGCCTGCTCTGAATGCTGTCTGTCTTGTCGTCTGTGTGTGGGACGTCACGCCAGGCTATTTCTAGTCTTATTTCTTTTTTTTTTTGGCTTTCACATTGCGCTTTTTTGTCCGTGGAAATTGTTGTGTGTTCGTTTTTGTTTCGAGAGGAGACGTTCAAACGTGAAACCTCCGCAGAGACCACTGAGCAGACACACGGCCAGGCGCACGCCACACTGCTCCCATTTCGAATGCCCGAGCAGCAGCAGCCGCAGCCGCAGCAGCAGCGGCAACAGACGGACGGACAGACAGACACCGACACGGACACACACGGATACGGCGGCGCTTTCATTTCGAAAACGTAACGAACAACATTTTCGAAAATTCTCTCGAGCAAAATGTTAGATAATTCTGCCGTGGGCAACGGCTGTTTGCTTTCGGGCACATCTCAAAATCTTTTTCAACAATTTTTTCCTCAATGAAACAATGAACTTTCACATTTTCTACACAAACAACACAAACGGATCTTTCCCCCTCTCTCGCTGCCTCTCACTCCTCCTTTGTGGTTCTCCCTGCCGAATCTCTCTCTCAATTTCGAAAACGTATTTTCGAAAATAGAACCCGTACGGCACACTCTCGCTCTCTCTCTCTGAAAGATCGGCGCACGGCTCTTAATTTCGAAAAAGTTTTTTAGAAAAAACAAAAAGTTCTACCTCGGTCTGCTGCTGGCCGTTTCGTGCACCCTACACGCCAGAGAGCGAGTTCTCCGCTTGGTCGGGCATTCAGGATCATCCGTTAGACGGTTAGACGGTGCTTTAGCTTCGGGGGATCTTCGGTTAAGTGGGTTTCTGGGTCAAGGCACATGTGTCCGAGCACTTAGTATCTAATCGTTTTTTGAGGGGGTGAGGAGCTTTCGGGAAGAAAGGCCTTTGGTCTATGGTTTGCTGGGTTAAGGTATTGAACGATAATTGCAAATGACAATCGCACAATTTGGCAAAAACCTTGGCTGCCATACGGCCAGGCGTTAAATGGTTTTTAAATGATTGCAAAATAGTGTTTGTTTGAAGGTTCAAATGGGATTATATATTAGAACAGAATTACTGGGGATTTCAGATATTTTTGCTTTAATTCGGGGTAGTTTTTACAGGTATCATCTTTATAATATTATCCTTCCCTTCCCATTCATTAAGCTTAATTCCAAATAAAAGACTCTGAAATCTGTTCGGAAGACTCACAGTTTAACGACCCGCAAAAACAATTCTTTCCAAATATAACCATATAGATAATTTAAAACAATTTTAATCAATTTTAGCAAATTTTTGTAATGTATGGTTTCCTAACCTTTGGGATATGTCTCGAAACATAATTTATACGAATTTACTCAACCATTTTCAGACACATTAATACATGTTTTTGTGCCACCAAAGGAACAACAAATGGAAATCATTTAGTATATTATTTTGGCACGCATCCAAGAAAGATCCCTTGTCTGCCCACAAGAACAGATCTTAGCTGCAGATGAAATCCTTTCCCCTTTAAAATATGACCTTGAGATGAGAAAAACTTTCGCTCAATCTGCAGCATAATTCGCAGGCCAATAAACAAATTCACAAATTGGGAAGCCAAAATTCCAGATATAAAAATATAATTTATTGCCGTTTAAGTATTTCTAAACATGAAATCAAATTGGGAATTGCTATCGAAATAGAGAGAATGAGCTACAGAGAGCAGAGAACCACCTGCATGACTAATCTCTGACCCGTAGACCCCATTTTCTCTTTCGATTTTCCCTGCCCCCCAATTGATTTGCGGCCGGCCACGGAATGCACGGAGGCAATCGGGGAAGAAATCAAAGTAAATTGCAAATACTTTCAGTTTTAAATTTAGATTCAGGCGACAACTAATTTTTGTTTAATTTTAGCACAAAAACATATATTTTTGTTATTTGCAAATAGAAAAATATTCATTTAATAGAGTAAGAGCCAACCCCCACTTTACCCCACAGCAGTCCCCAACCCCCTAAAAATACCATCAAAAATCGAGCAACTAAAAATACGAAAATTGACTCAGCCTCTGACTTTTGGCGACACAGGCGGGTGTACTGGCGTAGAGAACTAGGAAAGCGCACAGAGAATTTTCTACTATATTTTGTTCAAATTTATGGCCAAATTGGGAACGTCAATAGATGGCTCTGCCTCCCAGGGGGGGGGGGCTATTAGGGAGAGGAAGGATTACCCAGCAGCCACCGCGCATCTCTCATGATTGTGTCATGGCTGTGGGGGCGTGTTTTATGACGGCTTTACTCGTACGTGGGCATACTCAAAGAATCTAAAGAACTATGCCCGACTACACCACCGATCAGAATTGTAGGCATTAGATGATAAGAGGACAATGATAGCAACTCTTTCAGTACACATTTTGTACACATGAAGGCTTCCGAGGTGGTATATTTTCGTTATATCAGGAAATTTCGAGTGCTTATGATGTTGAGAATTCCTTTCATAACCTTTAGTCTATGGGGTTTCTGTCGATAACGAATTTAGGCTCCCAAAATGATACACCAAATGGTAAAAACTGCCTTCCCAATGGGATTTCTAACCAATAAATGTTGCAAATATCAACCAAATTAGATTTGATACACTTGAAAGCCGCCCGCCCAACTTATACTTTTACACTCACGATACGCACTGTCTAACACAAATCATGTTTGGCTTCCATTTTTCGCCCATTTCCCGGCTTCTTGGGTTGGAGAGAAAACGGCCTTCAAAACAGAAATTGTCATAAACAAAAGTGAGGCAATATTTCTTTGGAATTGCCATTTGCATTTTTCATTTCCACAATTTTCATGCTGCATGCAAGTGCAATGTCAGGGACAAACCAATTGCCCAAACAAAATTCCAAAAAAAGAAGGGAATTTATTTGCAAAATTCTCGCAATTTCGCGAGCGTCTAGAGGAGGTGGATGCGGATGCTGACAATTTATGGATGCACATGCTAGAAACATAATAAAAAGATATGCACATACTGAATGTTTAACTGTTGCCTGACACTGCCACACAGTGTGGCATCCACAGTCAAGCACCTTGCCCAGGGTCACACTTTGCCAAATAGTTTAGCATCGCCTGAGTTATGAGTGGGATGACTTTTATGGCCCACTGTGCCAGCATTCGCATTCACTTTCCGGCCAAAAAGAAAAAAACAAAAAGCAAAACCTCCGCCAATCCAGTCTCGAACGTCTTAATAATGCAGGCAACATTTTGCTTATTTATTTTTTTATTTTCTTTGTGCATAAATTATAAAGCTGGTAGCATAAAACAAATATATAAGAAACAAACACCCAGGCACACACACCAACACACACACACAAATCGAGCGCGTCAGAATTTTTGGTGTGGGCGAGAAAATTTTTTTATTTTCTTTCTTTTTGAAAATTTGAAAAACATTTTTCGCCGTGCGAAAGTTTTTGTTGTTGCTGCTGCTGCTGCTGCCTTGCCTTTTACTTTGACGTCGTTTCATAATGACGAAACGGCGAGCATTTAGTTTTTAAAGCAGCTATAAACAAAAGATCGAATTGTCTGCAAGGCAGCAGGGGGAAATATCAAGAAATATTTAGAGATCGAAACGCTGCAGTTAGTCGAGGTATAGAAGGGAGGGCGGAAGAGGTATTTGCAGCGGGTGGTGGCATTGGAAGGAAGGTGAAAAACATTGATTTGAACTGCACAGGTGAAGGATTTTCTTAGTTTTCCACATCGTAAGGCAATCGACTTTCACATTTAAAATGATCGGTTCGACTAATTTTCACCTTCAACACCATTTAAAATGCAAGTCTTCGCGACTATTAACCTCTTCGTCTCCTTTCCCTCTCTAGAATATTCCTCTCCACAAAAACACTAACACTCCGCCCCCTGCTGATTTCATAATCTACGATAATTTATGTGATTACTTAAATGAGCAATGTTAGATCGCTTGGAAATACGAAAGAAAGAAAAAAACTATGCCAAGAACATCTAATTGGTACCCAACAAAAAAGAAAGAAATGGGAGAAAAATGGAAAAAACAATTCTGAAATATTAAATCTGTCCGTCTGGTGGTGTGACACACTGTTGGCCTAAAGTATGCCCACAAACTAGTGGGTGGTGGTCGAGCAACAGGTAGGGGGGAAGAAAACTACTCCGCAGGCACTGTATAGCGACGACAGCCAGCCCCAAGAGCCACAAAAACAAAAACACTAAGAAAATCGCCTGACAAGCAACGGGAGGCACAGGCGCTGCAATAAATAAACATTCAGATCGGCTAATAATGTTACAGAGTATCGTACACATATACATGTACATATTTATACTAAGATAACCGAATGTATGACAAGAAAACAAGTCAAGTAGTTCTAGAATGAAACTAAAAGGCGACTATTGATTACACTACGTTTTGGGATCTCACAAGCTCAAGCTGAATCCCCGCTCTGAGAACCAAAATGTCAAGGCGCGTACTGTCTCCACTTTTTTCGATCATTCTCCAGCCCTGCTCTCTTCCGGAGCCCTGGTTAAACATGCACAGAGCGTAAAGCAGATACAAAGGAGCAACGACAAAAAGGAGATATAAATGCAAGCAAGCCCCCAGAAAGCAATGACGTCACTTTTACCCGCCTATGAATCACACAAAACTACAAAAATAAATATCTGAACGGCAAAGCTTATCGCAAAATGGATTAAATTGCATTTATCTGATATGCAGAACTACCGTGTGACAGGGGAGATGGTGCATTCAACATACCACATTCCGTGTCATATCCACGGTTTTACAGCGGAAAACACACATACACACAAAACCCATAAAATGAAAATGGCCAAGAGACTGACTGCCAAAGGGGGGGACGTTGTAGTCCGTTTGATTGGATATTTTTGTACATATTGCAGGAGGTGCCACCACCCCCGCTGATCATTCAGGTGTGATTTATTCGCCTTGTTCACAGATTCAATTTCGTGATATTGAGAAGAGAGGCTGCTGTGATTTGTATACCTACTGAAATGTAAAGGAAATAATGTTGCATACAAATTTTCCTCATTCTAATAAGAATGCGTTGAAGCGATATTTTATTTGGTACATTCTTAAGTATGTGTTCCAATTGATTTTTACTCCTACTGTGCAAATCAGACAAGAAAAAGGGCTGGGCGTCGCAAAAGCAACACAAACAAAGGCAAGGCATCCAAAACGCCGGCAAAACAAAGACGCGAATCAGAGTCACAAAACGGAATAAGAAGTACAAGAAGAGCCACATAACACGCACCACACATACATACATACATACATAGCGGTAAATCAGTTTGAAAAGAAACACAAATTGTATTAAATATGCAACTAAATAAGAGAACAGCATACAAAATCCCTACAGAAGCTCCAGGTTGCACCCAAATAAAACACTTAGGAAAGAGAGCACACGCACTGTGGCACTGGCGGCACGCACACTCTTACACGCGCACCGCATTATGCTATGGCTGGTGCTATCTATATTTAAATAAACAAAATATGGCAAAATTACCTCAGCGCTAGATTTATGTTGTTCTTGCAGTTGTAGTTGTAATTGTAGCTGTAGTTGTTGCTGGTATTTTTCTTTTTATTGGTCGCCAGCCCAGCGATTGTTATTGTTGCTGCAGCTGGTGGAGTTCGGGGGGATTACGCGGCACGTAGCGTGGCACTGTCAACGAGGGGCACTGGTTAAACATCTATGGCCCGAACTAGAGCGTTGGCTTGAGCGTTAATAGTTATTAAATGTTTATTTTATTAAAACTTTTGTGTGAAACAACAAATACGCGTGAACTTAGTTCGCGTCAGTTCGGTTCATCTCGTTGGTTCCAATACATGAACCGAACTCGCAATCGCGCAATATGACCGTACGTGGCCGTAACAAAGCCGAAATGAATATGCCATCAGTTATTTTTTCAAATATTTATAAAAATTATATGATTTATTTACACAAAAACATTATTCCTTAATTTAATAATGGATTTAATCTCGATTTAATTTGAATTTGTATAACAAAACACTCCTGCGATGCAATTAAACGAGCGCCATCTGTGGTGCCATGACAACTAGCCAATCTTGTAGAAGATTGATTGATGAATTGGATAATATTATAGTTATAGTAGTAGTATAGTAAGTATACTTATAGAGCTACATATTTCGCACTGTGCCCAGTATGACCAAAGTAGACCAAAGTGCATGCTCTCTGGGTACACTGTTTTGTGTTTGCTTACAAAATGAGTCCCGTTACAAATTCAATTCTTGCGACAAAATTTTCCGTCGAACAAAAAGCAGGGTTGATTTCTAATCGTTTGTATGGGAATATCATCCCTGATTCTGTTCCAAGAATATTTTGCGTTTCTGAGTACTGGGCTTTAGCGCTGAGAGTCCAAACTAGCTGGTAATATTGAATATAATAGTAAAATCGAGGAAACGACGGTATATTCTTAAAATGACATGGTATCTTTCGGTATATTTTTGAGGGAAGTACGATATATTTTATCGATAACTCCGCGGTCACACTGGTCACACTGGTATACAGACGCCGGATAAAGAAAAAAAACGCAAGAGCCGCTTAACTGAAAGAGAAAATCGCCAAAGAGAGGTGAAAATTGAGCCAAAAGCAGCCACACGGGTGAGCAGCAGTTCGCACCCAAGCCTAACACCGACCTAGCCCCAACTAATTCCACCTGCACGTGCCACCCGATCCACAAGCAGTGTCGCAGAAACGTGTCTGAAGAAGGAAGGGGGGCCCTGTGCGCGTCTACAGCAAAACAACAAGAAGAACAAGAACAAGATGTCTGACATTTCCAGCGAGGACCTGCGCCGCGAAGTGCAGGCGGTGCTAAAGGATGCCGATCTGGCCACCATTTCGGCCAAGCGGGTGCGCGAGCAGGTGGAGGGAAAACTCAATTGCTCGCTGCTCGGCCGCAAGAAGGAGTTCGACAAGATCGTCATGGAGGTGATAAACGAGCAGCAGGACGAGGAGGAGGATGATGACGATGACAAGGATCCCGATGCCGATCCAGATGATGAGAGCGAGCCCAGCGAGGAGGAGTCCGCCAGCAGCAGCGAGGAGGAAAAGGCCAAGAAGAAGCCGGTACAGAAGAAGCGGCCACAGCCCACCAAGCACAAGGCGCCCAAGAAGAAGCGCAAGACACTGAATGCCGACGATTCGGGCACTGAAAGCGATGCTGGCTCCGATTCCGACTACGAGGTGGTCAAGAAGCCGCCCGCAAAGAAAAAGGCCAAGTCCGCCGGTACTTCCGCCACGGGTGCACCACGCAAAAGCACCGGCTTCACCCGCGCGTACAATCTCTCGCCCGAACTGTCCGCCCTCATGGGCGCACCCTCGCTGCCACGTCACGAGGTGGTCAAGAAGGTGTGGGCCATCATCAAGGAGCGTGATCTGTACGATCCGAAGAACAAGCAGTTTGCCATCTGTGACGAGGAGCTTATGAAGGTCATGAAGATCCGACGATTCCGCACCTTTGGCATGTTGAAGCACCTCAAGCCGCATTTCCTTGACTAAGGCAGGAGGAGGATAGGAAGAGCACACTCCACCCAGAACCCATCCAGATGCAAACGGTCAGCATGCACCACCAACCAGACACACCAATACACACAGCACACACACACAGACATCTCTCCTGCATCGCATCGCTAAATATTAGTTTAGTTTCTTCCCTTTTTTCTCTTCAGTCACGTCACGCAAAAAACACTTTCGGCTCTGTTCCAATCTTTTAAGACTTATTTTTACGCGATGTAGACAGCGACGACCCAGGACGAGGACGAGGACCAGGACACACGCAAGCACGGTGGACTTCAATGACTATAATGACGACCCATCCACTCTGCTGGTGTGGGGTTGACCACAGCAGCAATGTGTTTAGCATTAAAACCTTAATTAAGACGCATCTACAGAACCATTTTTATGTAGTCTACGGCATTTTAATTATACATACAAATTATAACAAAATCGAATTGTAACAACAAATGCAATGCAATGCATAAAGATAACGAATGAATGAATGAAACAAAATGTATAATTTTTTGTGTAACGTACTCGTGTAATTTACATTTTACAACAAAATCAAAGAAACACAAAAACAACTTTAAGGCATATAATATCAAGAATAAACTTTGAAATAGTAGACGAGCGATCATGCATCTGAATATAATATAAACATTGATGAAAAGGGATTATCCAGTCTGTTTGTATCTATGCGGGGGAGGTATTTGGCCGTGTGGGAAGCGATTTCCAGGAATATCACTTACACATAAACATGGTAATAGGAGAACTTGTAGACTCTATTGGGATGTGACTTGACTGAGTCAAATGACTGTTGTTTCGCTTTGCTGTTGTAATTTCCCATAAGTGAATGGCTACTTTTTACTGGTTTAGCGATTCGGGACTGCAAAAGATGCAATTCCAGAAAGATCATCACTGGAACACAGTGGCACAAGATTGAACCATTAGTTTACACTGCTTCAATTTTGCTTTCCCACAGATAGAGGGACACTTTAGGAATGGCTTCACTATGAGTTACTTTATCTCCCTTTCCACACCTTCAAAAAAACCCCCGTGTCTTATCATTGCTCAATAAAGAATGCCTTTTTTTATTATTATTGTTTTTCCATTTCTCACAAAACTTCTTACAAACACTTTTTCAGTTTTTAATTCGCTTTTGGACTTTTTGTATTCTTTATACATAAAGTTCTCTCTAATATGCATATGTGTGTGTATATGCGCGTGTATATATATTCTGGATCTGATATATATATATATATGTGTATAAATGTGTATATGCCAGCGCGTGTATATAATTGAATAAATGGAATTACTTTTTGCACTGCTTTTTTCAATTAACTTTTTTTTCGGACGCTCAACGAAAACGATACCAAACTACGAATAGGTGCCCGGGGGGTGGCGAACATAAAACATTTAACAAATTAAGTACGTAAAGAATACGACAAGAAAGTCTATATATAGATATACATACACATACATATAGTAGTAGTAGTTACATAAATTCAAAGAACGGCAATAAAACGTTTCAAATTGTTAAATTCTTTGGGGGGGGTTCACATTTTGGATGAAGCAGCGAAAGAGAGAGATAGTTAGGTAGATAGATAGAGAGAGCAGTGTTGGTCAGTGGTCAGCAGTGTTGTGCATGTTGGGTGTTGGTTAACGACAAAACAAAAGATACGCGCAAAAATGAAAATCTAAATACTAATCGGGAAGAACGTTAAATGCTAGGTTAAAAAGCAAACTAAGTAATTGAATTTCTGCTCCAGTGTCCCAGTAAGCCGTGCTCGCAGCCAATTTGGAGCCTGGACTATTGGATCCTCTACTCGCTAAACTAAGCAATACATTTTGTAATAGTAACTTTGTGTGTTCTCTTCCTTTTTGCGTGTGTGTGTGTTGTTTGGTTTTCTGTGTGTGTTTGTCAACAATTTCGAGAGGGCTGTTCCTCCGCACGTTCAATCATCCATCATCATCATCAATTTCCCGTCCAGACTTCTCTCTTAAATAGTTTTACTTTTGCAAAGACAATACTTTCGTTGGCGTTGTTTCTTCTAATTGTTGCTGGTTGTTGCCCGCTGTTGCTGTTGCTGCTGTTATTGTTATTGTCCTCCTCCTGGCGCAACGCCTTTTAGTAGCGATAATAATTGGGCTTGAAAGGACCGGCCTTGTTGAGGCCCATGTACTTGGCCTGCTCGTCGCTCAGCTCCGTCAGATGTGCATCGAATGTGGGCAAATGGAGGCTGGCCACATACTCATCCATCTTCTTGGGCAGCAAATAAACATCGGACTTGTAGCGGCCGGGCGGTGCATTGAACAGCTCAATGAGTGCCAGCGCCTGCGTCGCCGATGTGATGGACACCGCAAAGGAGGGAATGCTCGAACAGCTCAGATTCACCAGTCGCCCCTCGGCCAGCAGTATAATGTACTTGCCCTCCGGCCAAATAATGTGATCCACCTGCGAGCGCACCTTCTCCCAGTTGAGGTCCGGCGTGCGCAGCCCATTCACATCGATTTCCGTATTGGAGTGTCCCATATTGCTCACAATGCAGCCGCTCTTCATCTTGTCCATGTGCTCGCGCACCACCACGTTCTTGTTGCCGGTGGCAGTGACCACAATGTCCACATTGCGAATCACCTCGTTCAGCTTCACCACTCGGAAACCATCCATGCTGGCCTGCAGTGCGCATATCGGATCGATTTCTGTGATGTACACAATGCAGCCCTACAAAGAAACATCGCAAAAAGGTTGAAGAGGGCTTCTGGGGTAGTCTTTGCTGTGTCTGCTGCTCACCTGTCCCTTGAGTGCCTGGGCACAGCCCTTGCCCACATCACCATAGCCACAGACAACGACCTGCTTGCCGCCAAACATGACATCCGTGGAGCGTTTCAGGCTGTCCAATATCGACTCCTTGCAGCTGTAGAGGTTATCGAATTTGGTTTTGGTCACCGAATCGTTGACATTCATTGCGGGTACCGTCAGCTTCCCCGCCTTGGACAGCTGATAGAGGCGATGCACGCCAGTGACGCTTTCCTCCACAATGCCCTTGACGAGCTTGAACATTGTTGGATACTTCTTGAGCATCAGATGGGTGGCATCGCCGCCATCGTCCAGTATCATGTTGGGCTGCCAGTTCTCGGCATTCACACACCGATCGATGCACCACCAGAAATCCTCCTCCGTCTCACCGCGCCAGGCAAAAATGGGTATATTGGACTCGGCCAAAGCGGCGGCCACTTCGTTCTGCAGGGGAGAGAGAGAACGGAGTGATTAATCAGTTGGGGTCGTATATTTGGCTTTGTTTTGGGTTGGCTTGTGGGGTAGGGGAAATCAGTACGATTAGGAACTTATTTCCAGTCCATTGCTGCACCCTCTTTAAGCACGGGCACTTGTCTGATAAGCCCCGTACCACGGACAGAGGACAGGGGGGTCTGTGTGTGTTCTCTGATTCAGTGTGACAACGTGTCATGGCAGGTCTCGATAAAACAAAAAATAAACTAAAGCCTCGTAAAGCCAGTGGAAAACCTTGGCATGTCGGCTGGCGTTTCATTAGACGAACCATAAACTGGTTAGAGGCGGGGAGACTCGTGCTAATTGCATTGGCCACGGCATCAGGAGAGGCACCATCATCATGATGATGTTGGTGGGCCACCAGCCTTGATTTTGGAGATGTCTCTCTGTGAACATGGTACCCCCGCCTGGCGTTGTGTGACCCAATTCAGGGCACGTCAATTATCAGCAACGTCGCGTCATCGATTGCCAAACACTTGAGCCGCTGCGGCGGAGACCCATAGCCAGCACTTAATTGATTAACATGGCTTGATTGATCATTTGTTTGTGCTGCGCTTCGTTTTGCGTGACAACAATTGTCGCCACGCAAGAGCGGGCGAGGAAGAACTATGGGATATGTTGATCAAGTGAAGACTTCTACTCACTTGCGTGGAGTATATGTTGCAGGCAGCCCAGCGTACGCTGGCACCCAGCTCCACCAGGGTTTCAATGAGCACCGCCGTCTGGGCATTGATGTGTGTGCAGCCGACAATTTTGGCATCCTTCAGTGGCTTGTCCTCGGCGGCACGCTTGCGCAGCGCCATTATGCCGGGCATTTCCTGCTCGGCAATCTCGATCTCGCGGCGTCCAAACGCATGCTGGGCGGCAATGTTGCGCACACAAAAATCGGAGCTGCCTTTGGTGTTTTTTTGGACCTTCTCGCGGGGTGGCACATCATCCCCATCCTCGCTGCTGCCCGTGTACGAGGCCGAGCTGAAGGAGTCCGTGGAGGAGGCGCTCAGTGAGCGACTGCGATAGCGGCTGGTCTTCTTGAGAGCCGACGATTGCTTGGTGGGCGGTGGTGGCACCACAACGCTGGCATCCTGAGGTGGTACAACGGCCAGCTGCTGCTTATCGCCGCCACCGAAACCGGGATCCACCACCACCGTATCCGCCAGGTTGTTCATCATTTATAAATCCTCTGCTGCCGCTGCTGCTGCTGTTGTTATGTAAAAAACACAACTGGCCGCAGGATGTGTGTGAATGTGGGGGGGATGGATGTGCTATTCGAATCGCAGATAATTATCACGTGATACTCCAGCGGCTCTCTCTCTCTGTCTCTATGTGTGTGTCCCCAGTCGAGGCCGTCGCTTGTGTCAATTCACAATTTTAATTGTATTTTGTGTGCGTCTCCTTTGTTTCACCTCTCCGCTGACGCTGCTGCTGCTGCTTCTGCTGCTGCCGCTATTGTTTCTTCTTCTTCGCTCTCTCTACGCACGCCAGAGCATTTGGATGAATGTGAATGATGGGCTGGCGGTCGGAATGGGACTGGTCGAAGTGGTGTTGCGGTGTCAGTGTGTGTTCGAAATAAATAGGGATCGGTGATCGTTTAATTAGTTGATTTTTATCAAGAGAAAAGAGAACAAAACCGAAACGAAACAGTGTGACCGCGGATTCGTCGATGAAATATACCTTTTGACGCTGAGCATTTTACCGAAATATAGGTAGTCAATTGCAAAAATACCGTAAAAATAAAAAAAGCCCACTAAGAACTAAGCTTGAATTAAACATCCTAAAATAATACCCACCCACATAACATCTTCCTTTCCATTTACTCTATTTACAAAAGAACACACGCTATCTTGCACCTGAACTTCAAAGTTCTTAGTCTTCGTGCTTGTAAATAAATATCCACTGGTTGACAATGGGTTAAACGTTCTCTGTCCATGATAGAAAAGCTAATTTCTTGCTTTTAATATTCTGCTGAATATTACTGGCTAGCTAGAAATCTCAGCACTAATGATGTAATTTAATTCGATTAAAGAATCAATTTTCTACAAGATTAGCTTATTTAAAATACACCCTTTTATTGGGTTGTATGCGAAATGAAGGTAAAACAAATGAGGTCATCAATGGAAAACCCATAAAACGTAAGGGGGAATGAAATATCACGTCATGAGACAACTTGTTGATTTTCAACAATGGACAACAAATGGACATTTTTATACCCTATTTCCTTTCAAAATATTCACATTTTATTCAACAAAATAGGTAACACGTAGCAAAGTAAATCCCCCTCCACTCCACTACATTTGGTCCTCCAGGTAACCGCACAGCTCGTAGTCATCTCCAGTCGTGACCAAACGCGCCTCCGTCTGCAGTCCCGCCTTGTAGGACTGCCGCTTGTCCACCAGTCTCGAGAGATTCTCCACGGCCAGGGGCCCCTGCTTGGCGTGCTTCTTGATGAAATCCGCCACGAGATGCTTGTCCACGACGGACATCTCCAGGATGTGATTCCAGGCGAGCAGCGCCAGCGGTCGTTCCGGCGACAGCGACTGCGAGGGCGAGATGAGGTGGCGATACAGACAACCGCCGACAATCTGCTGCAACTGATCCACCTGGCCCAGGAAGGCACAGGGATGGTACAGCATAACAATGGCACCCTCGGCGAGATTCCTCATGTATCGCTGTGGCGGCAGGTACGAGTAGGTGCCGTACTCGGCGGGTAACGGACGGAAGGGGCCACTGCGAATGAAATGGAATTAAAATGAAAAGGAAACTCTTGGGTCTTTGATTCCTACTTGGTTGGTGGCAGATGCGTGTACTCGATGGACACGTTCAGGCACTTGGATGGCGGCATATAGGCACTGGGCAGGAAGTGCTCCGTGAGCAGCGCCTCCCTGGACATGTTCGGATCGTAGATGCTGCGATTGCTGCTGATGCACAGGACATTGAAGCTCTGGCGCACATCATTTGGATCATAATCCACGGACAGGTTGCTCTAAAATAAACAAAGATGAGTCATGCCTCAAAGGGGGTAATCCCACCTCATCCACTTACCATTCCGTCATCACAGTTGATTTCTTTTGAGGGTTTCTCTGCCTTCTGCTGATGTTTGTGTGGCTCCTGGGGGAACCATTTGCCATTCCAGCCGTCTGCAGATGGCTCCTCCGGTGCCGCTGATGTGCTCGCCGTTTGACTTTTGATCACATGCGGTTCTCCCGGTGCATAGGGGAACCACTTGCCTGTCCAATCATCAGAGGTGGTGGCTGTTGTGTTCGTCTCAGGTACACGTTGCACTTTCGGAATGTGAGGCTCTCCGGGAGCGTAAGGAAACCATTTGCCATGCCAGTCGTCCAAATCAAATGTCGGCTCCAGCAGATTAGCCTGCGCCTTCTTGATGGACTTGGCCTGGCATGTGGCAAGGATAAGGCACAAAACGGTCAATGAATGCAAAAGAAACATAACAATTGCAACGGAAACAAACAAAAGAGCAGCAAAACAAAAGATAATAATATAATTAAGAACTTTTCTGGGGGCAACAGCTGTGGGGGATAAGGGCATTTTACAGCACTGCTCAGGTCACGACTTTGCACAGGGTATCAACAGGTGGATTAGGATTTTGAATGGAAATGTTTTAAGCTAAAATATGGAAATATTTTAATAATTAAATATTAAAATACATAAATAGATGACACGTTTCACATCAAAAGCCAACAAACTATTTTTATAAGATATACGAGGAAATAATATAAGGGCGAGTTATGAAATCACGACTTAAAGCAGGGTGTCAACAGGTTAATATAATACTGCAAAATAAGGTGAAAAATACTGTATTCGGTATTTCCAACACGACTCTGACCGTGATTTATATCGAATGGTAAATAATCGATGGCCGCCCATCACTGACAACAAAACAAGAAGCTGCCTCGGGTGTTGGTGATTTTTTAAACACATTTTTCGTACACTTGCGAGCTGCTAAGGCTCTCTTTTATTGCAGCCACCCTGACCCAGATGAACAATAATCCCAAATCAACATTAAGATGCAAGTGATTTGCGCAGCAAAGCCAGTTATCGCTACAAAACTTCCGCTGTGATTTCCCATTTCCGTCTTTGGCGACGACGAACAATAACAAAGGTCTCACTCTGACTGCGTGTGCGTGTGTGGTTGTTGTTGGACTGGACTGAAAAAAAATACAACGCAGAAGGGCAAACCACAAACAACAACGAGTCAGCGATCATCAGTCAGCCACCATGTCGTGGTTCAATCCGTGGGATGGGCTGAAAACAAAGATGTGCCGATACCTGCTCCAGCGATATTTGGGTCAATTCTTTGAGAATAATCTGAATTTGGAGCAGCTGAAGGTGGACCTGTACAATGGCAGGGCGGTGGTGGAGAATATATCGCTCAAGGTGAACGCCTTCAATGATCTGTTCGAGGATCAGGGCTGGGCCTTTGAGGTGGTATCCGGACACATTGGCTGCCTGACGGTGGCCGTGCCCTGGAATGCTCTCATGACCAACGACAGCTCGCTGGAGATCTCCAACCTGACGATAACGCTGCGTCCGGTGACACGCTTTCAGAGCGGCACAACCATGCTGGAGTCCATGTGGTCATCGGTGAGCAGTTCCATGCAAATGGCCGAGGAGTGCATGAAGCAGGTGGACGATGATGTGCCATTTCTCAACCACAACAACGCGCTCATTGGGCTCGAGAAGTTTGCAGAGACGATCGACAATGTGCTGAATCGCATCAAGGCCAAGCTGACGAATACAACGCTGAACATTGAGTACCTGCTGCCGCACTCGGACAGGAAGCTGGTGATGTCCTTCCAGGCCAGTCATGTGGATTACATGAACAAAACGGGCTACGAGATGCCCCATCAGAATGGCGGGGATATGAGTGGCAGCCAAACGGCTGCGGAGGATGACGAGGAGAGCATCATCTCCAATTTCAATACGCTGCCGATGATCGCCAAGCATAATCTGGTGATTGAGGGACTGACCATACACACCTCCGAGGTGCTGGACATTGACAGGCACATCCATTCGGTGAGCGGACCCATGCAGTACGAGCAGCTCTGCAAGATTGTCGAGCTGAAAGGATCGCAAAACATTCAAATCAACATCAAGCAAACGGAGAACATTGTGGGCCCGAAAGTGAATCTGGAGATCATACTGGATGACATCTACTTTATACTCAGTCCGCGGCAGATTCACCTGCTCGTGGAGATCTCCAAGGGCTTCAGCAACAACGAACGGCCCAAGGATACGCTGCGCAAGACGCGCGGCAAGAGCATCAAGTCCACGACGCCGCCGAGCGAGTATCAGCAGCACTGCGAGCCCACCAAAATGACGGGCATACTCGGGCAGAATGCCGACTGGTCCACCGAGCCCACAGAGTACTCCAGCTATGGCGGCCATGAGCCAACAGGCGCCAGCAGGAGCGTCTACTCGCGGAATGCGCAGCGCAAAATGTGCGATTCAGCCTCCAGCATGGTGACCTCCTGCAGCAATGTCCCACAGGAGCTGGGCTACACGGAAAAGTCCGGCGAGATACTCAAGTTTAAGATACAAATCTCGCAGGTCTTTGGCATCTCGCTGCACAATGATATATTGATCCAGAACACGGCCAGCATTGACAGCTACACGCGCGTGTTTGACAGCGCCAGCTACCAGAGTTACGCGCAGACCGCGCAACAGTTTTTCCAGCAGAACACGCAAACGTCGAACCATCTGCCCATGGAGAATCTCAACTACTTGCTGGTGAAGGCAGCGCCGATAATTGTGAGCGGTAGCCAGCAGCGCTACTTCCAGGAGCTCACCTCGAAGACCACACTCTCGGCCACGGCTGTGGACATTTGCGAGGTGCTGGACAATGCCATCGATCATCTCATCCAGTTTGATCGGCAGCGCAACTGCCCCGATGGCTATCACATACGCCCGGAGATTGTGCTGAATCAGAGCTCGTCGTTTCTGTTCAAGCAGAACCATAATCGTTGCACCAACAAGATCGAGTGCATCTTCGATGAGTGCACCGCGGAGTTGGACATTTCGATCTACGATCGATTGGGCGCACTCTTCGGGCAGTCGCCCTTTGCACAGAGCTCTGCGGGGGAGCCCGAGAACTACCCAGAGGATGGCAGTCTGACGGAGGTGCAAGTGAAATGCGAGAACTTGCGGCTGCACCTGCGTTTCCCAGTGGTCGATGGGCGTGCGGCCAACGATCCGCACAAGCTGCCCTGGTGGAAGAAGAATGTGCGGCAGGATTTCCTGTCCCTGGAGTTTCGCAGCCTGTTGATTGCCTCGCGCACACACATCAGCATCATGGCGGAGGAGCTGGACGCCTTCTACTGCGATGCGGAGAAACAGAGCGCCATTGCGCTGCTCAAGTGTCAGCAGAAGAACAACAAGAAGATCCAAATCGATGTGCTGCAGCCGCGGGAGAACAACAACGACAACCGCACGACGGACAACAACAAGAAGCCCAAGCGACGCTCCCCGTTCAGCTCCAAGTGCACCTTTGGCTACACCACCAATGTGGAGGGACTCGATGGTTGTGTGGATAAAACGGACTCGCTGCTGCCGGGCGAAACGGAGGAGATCAATGACTTTTGCCAGAGCTGCTCGCAATCCTCGAAGCTCAAGGTGGCGGTTTATGTGCCCCTCATCAAGGTCGTGCTGGAGTCCAAGCAGATGTACGAATTGATTTACAATCGCCTCAATGGGGATCTGTTTATGTGGGAGCCACGTTCGCCGCACTACGATTACCAGGGGGAGGAGCAGCGGGAGCACAACGAAAGAGAGTCGGAGGAGGAGGAACAGGCCGACCAAGAGGAATATGAGAAGCACAAATATGACCGGAGTGTCCTGCTCAGCACCAGTGCCATGGAGAGCAGCATTTACTTTTCCATGGCCGAGAATACGCTGCCCAAATCGCATGCCAAACCAAATCCCAGTGCCCAAGCCCAGCCGCCCAACGAGGAGGCCTTCTCCTTTGAGCTCTTTGTGGCTGAGGGTTCGCTGATATTATTCTCACACTTTGTCGAGCCCGAGACGCAGCAGCGAACAGCGCAATGTGGCAAGTTTCAGGTGAACATCAAGGAGTTCAAGCTCTTCACGGTCAATGGACTGAACAACGATCAGAATCGCAGCTACTTTTGCATACAACTAAGCCACGTGGAGGCGCTGCATTGTGGCAACACGCAGCAGGATTTGCAGCTCGCTTGGAGCGACCATCCCGATGGCAGTCTGCAGCCCACAATCTACAATTTCGGCCAGCAGCAGCATCAACAGATCAACCAGAAGCGCCAGGAGGTGCTCTCGGTGGTGGCAGAGATCAAGAAGCAGCCGGACAAACGCATCAAACGCATGAAGATGTCGTTTGGCATCAATGGAGCCACGCTGCAGCATCATCCCACCAGCTCGGAGCACAATTGGCTGAATCAGCTGCTGGACTTTATGGACGTCACCGATTTCCCCATCGAGGCGTATGTGCCGTTTGCCCTCGTCTCCGAGATTCAGCTGCATGTGTGGAATGCGGCCATTGACTATCGGCCCAAGTACTTTCCCCATCGCGCGCTCATCGACATTGGCTACTGCACGCTGAGCAGCAACATCATTTCCTCGATGAGCGGCTGCACGTTGCGTGTGATTGGCGAGGACTGCGTGCTCAGTTTGGGCTCCAGCGACAGCCTCATACCCGTGCTCAATGTGGGTCTGCTGAACATCTCCTTCCGCCTCAACGAGGATGACAAACAGCAGCCGCGAGTGGATCTGCGCTCCTCCATACACGACATGCACCTGAAGACCTGCTACGACTCAGCGGCTGCGCTGGCCCAACTCATTGGCTATGTGGCCAGCGACAAGGATCTCATTTCGCCCGAGGAGAGCGCACACGAAGACGAGCACGATCAGAGCAAGTTTGTGGAGCCCAAGGCCAGCGAGGAGGATCAACTGTGCGACGATCAGACGCAGGATCATGTGAATAAACTAATGGCCGATGCCGTCATGGATGTGGAATGTACGCCCGGACCCAGACACAACAAACTCGCAGGCAAGGAGGAGGGCATCGAGATCTTCTACTTTCCCGACGAACCCAAAGACAAGGCAGAGCAGCAGCGACAGAAGAACAAGCAGAAAGCCAGCTCCACGCCCGCGAAGAAGCAAAAGGAACCCGGCGACATGCAGAGCATATCCCTGATTGTGGAGAGCTCCCCCTCAGAGATCTGCAACATTGTAGACTTTGAATCGAACGTCATGCTGCAGTCGTACTACAATCAGACTCTGGAGCAGCCGCTGCAGCAGGTGCAGCAGGAACTGGGCGATGTGCTGCCACCGCTGATGGAGGAGCGCGACTTTGACATCATACACGACGATGAGATCTCGCGCATGGATAAGTTTGGCGTGAAGCAGATCTACGTGTCCGAGGATCCCCTGCAGATTGTGGACAATCATTTTTGTTTGCCACACGAGAAGGTTGATCTGTTGCGGCCGCCAGCGAACTTTCCCATTGCCGAGAGCAGCTACACGCTGTGCGAGATGACGTTCACGTGGCATCTGTACGGCGGCAGGGATTTTCCGGAACACACGACAAGCGACAGCAGCAAAAAGAAGATCCCCTTGAACCCTGGCTACGGCCACATGTCGGACACGTACAAGTACGGCGTATCCCAGCCGCAGGGCGAGCAAAAGGCCACGAAGAAGGGCGCAGCAGGGCTGCCCAAGGAGCCAAAGGGTTCGCGCAGGAATCTGGATGTGCTGGTGGAGATCCAACTGTCGAAGATTCGCTTCTCCTACGAGGCTTATCCGCTCAGCTCCATCTACTCGTCGCGGCAGGTGCTGCTCGTGTCGGATATTGAGATTCGCGACCGTCTGCGCTCCTCGGACATCAACAAGTTCCTGTATCATCCGAACAGCAGCAACATATCCCGCCGACCCGACGAGAATATGGTCATTGTGAAGGCGCTGAATGTGCGCCCGAATCCACAGAAGAGCACCGCCGAGGAGTGCTCGCTGCGCGTGTCCATTCTGCCCATTAAACTGAACATTGATCAGGATACGCTGCTCTTTCTGGAGGACTTCTTTTCGGCACTGTTCAAGAACTCCTCCGGCGGTGGCAGTGCCCCAGAAAATGCCAAAACGGACGCCAATGCCGCCTGCGATATGCCCGTAATGTCGGTGAGCAAAATGTCTGATGCGCTGCAGGATCTGGAGGCGAGGGAGATTGTAGAGCGGAATCTTGATGTGCTCATCGATGAGGGCAAAGACACCACGGCCGAGCTGGAGGATGATCCGCTGGGTGGCGAGTCGGCGCCTGTTTACTTCCGTGAGGTGATCTTCAGCCCCGCTTTGCCCATCTGCTTCGACTACCATGGCCGTAGGATTGAGCTCTCGCGCGGTCCCATCACCGGCCTCATTATGGGCCTGGCACAGCTCCAGGGTTCGGGCATTTGTCTGCGGGAGATTGTCAACCGTCGCGGCATTCTCGGCTGGAACAAGCTGTGCGAGTTTCTCTGCAAGGAGTGGCTGAAGGACATCAAGCGCAATCAACTGCCGAATATTCTGAGCGGCATTGGCCCCACCAATGCGGTGCTGCAGCTGTTCCAGGGCGTCTACGACCTCTTCCGGCTGCCCATCGAGCAGTACAACAAGGACGGGCGCATCATACGCGGCTTCCAGCTGGGCGCCCAGAGTTTCACGGCACGCACAGCGCTCGCAGCGCTGGAGATCACGTCGCGGATTATCCACCTGCTGCAGTTCACGGCGGAGACCACCTTCGATATGCTCTCGGCGGGTCCATCCCTGAAGAAACGCCACACGAAGCGCGGCAAGAAGAAGCGTCAGGGCAGGCCCAAGGATCTGCGCGAGGGTGTGGCCAATGCCTACACCATCGTCAAGGAGGGCATCAACGATTCGGCCAACACGCTGATCGAGGCTGCCATGACGGAGCACGACCAGAAGGGCTACAGCGGTGCCGTGGGCGCTGTTGTGCGGCAAATCCCCCAACTGGTTGTCTGCCCCGCCGTGCTCGCCACGCAGGCCACAACGAACATACTGGGCGGGGCCAAGAGCTCCCTGGTGCCGGAGGCGAAGCTCGAGGCACGTGACAAGTGGAAGCACGAAATCCACTAAAAGGATTCAAACAAAATGTTAAACTTAAGATTAAGATTCTACTTTTTAATTTCGGGGCACACACACACACACACACACACACATATATCGCATAAATCAGAGTTATATATTTTATATTTTTTATTATTTTTACTACTAAAAACAAATATATACAAAACGTGTAAATAAAGTGTAACAAGCAACATATTTTGGAGGGGATCTCTCGACGAGGACAATGCTTTAAACGGACACGAGATCTCTTCATAAGGGACAAGAAATCTTTATAGAAGTTAGAAGGGATTTTTACTTCTTTTTTTAATGCATCATTATAATAATATTGTAAAGGTTTTAATCTTTATCTTTTGATTTCCATGTGGTTTGATAATTTACTTAATAAATGTATAGCAAAATGGAAAGTATGAAATGTTTAATGGGTTTTCAAAGGGGAAATTTGTGAGGGATAAGGGAGTTAATTACAAGAGGCACGAGCTCTGTGTTAACATTGTTTTTAAAGACTTTTCTAATAATTGCAACGATTTTAGAGCTCTCTTTCATTTATGTTAAAAAAATATTCTTCATTTGATAGCTTTGGATTTCTTTTTCATCTATAACGTTTACTTAGTTTTCTTTTTCAAATCTTTTTCGATGTAACAAGGAATAAAATGTATACTTAAAAAATCTCCTAATTTGAATGTAGAATATTCTTTATACACATATTTCCTCATTTCTTAGTTTTCCCCACATTTTGTTATAGTTTTCGGCTTGTCTTTCATTTCTATATCTCCGATTTTTCTTATACATTTTCGTTTTGTCTTTTATTTTTGGTGGCAAAATTTGGTTCACAGTTTAACGCTTTTTTTTTTAAAACAACTTGGAGTGTGCTTTACAGGTAGAAGTAGACATACATATACAAAATACAATAGATATATAAAGATATACAAAAAAGAAAATGTACCCTGGTAACACGGATAAAATCCACAACAGCAACAAACAAAAAAAAACAGATGAACGGCGGTCGTCGTCCGCGCTTTAGAAGCAGCCGGACACAGGCAGCTGCGGTGGTTGGCTGCCATTCACTGTAACCTTAAGTCGTTTGCCACTGAAAGAAGCAAACAATTCGGATTAATAAGGGATAGGATTAGGATTGTATGAATGATTCACCTTCAGCGTGGTCTGCCCCTGGCCTTGGCGTTCCGCCTCAGCTTCGCGTCGTTCCTGCTCCAGCGCCCTTTGCTGCTGTCTGCGTACGTTCTCAGGATTTCTGATTCCACGGGATTCGTTCTCCTGGCGACGCTTTTCTGCCGCTTCCAACTGCTGCTGACGCCGCTCCTCCTGCAAAGAATCGTTTCAAAATGGTCTGCACAGCGCTTCCAGCTCATTCTCTTGTCCTACCGGCGATGGCATCAGATTGGTTTCCTCGGCACTGTTGCCGCAGCAAGATAGGCACCCGCCCATGTCTGTTTTGAAGTCGTTATTTAAATGGCCAAAAAATAGGGCTTCTCTTCCTCCCTTGTGTTGTTTTTGCGTTGTTCTTTTTTTTTCGCCTTCTTCTACGCTTTGTTTTGGTGTGTCATTTCGAGCAGCTGACTGCTGGTATATTTTTGAGGGCCTTGCGGTATATTTATCGATAAGTCCGCGGTTACACTGGTATCTTGCCTCAAAAGAACTTAAACTTTGCGGAAAACAAAACAGTTTATGTTAAAAAAATATTTCGTGTAATAATTGGATTAATTAGTTTATCCGAGATCTCCTTTGTTCTCTTATTTGATATTGTGCGTGTGTTAGTAGAAGTGAGCGCACATTGCTCCGTTTCCGTGTGTGTGTGTGCTTAGGTGCAAATTAAGATAAAACTTATCATCGACGCTTAATTACTAAATCGTTTGGAGACCCTTTCAAAAAATAATTTAAAATGTTGGATGTGCCCCATGAAGGAAAGGTGAGTTGTTTTGGGTCAACATTATGTCCGCCCTCGCGCTCTCCTCTCGCTCTCTTCTCCACTCTACTGCGCTTGTTTGGGAGAGTGCATTTCTGCATTCCAGCGAATGCAACAAATTTTGCCGGTTCCAGGGGCTCTATTTATAGGCACCTCTCTTCTCCAGATATCAGGTAACGGTGCCCTTTTGACTCGGCGAGCGACTTTCTGACTGGTTTTGTCTCCCCTTTTATGAGACTCTTGCATTTGCTTAGCGTTAACCTTCAAGTGACCTCCCTTTAGCCGCGACGCCAAGTGCTGGCATGTGTCGCACAGCTGTGTCTCCGACATGGGGTGTGTATGCACGCAAGTGTGTCTGTGTGGTTTTTTGGGGGGCCAAACCGTTATGACTCGAGCATAATTGTAGAAAAATATTATTATACATTCATAATACGATTGGCTATGTCTTATCAATTGGCCCCCAAAAGACAATATAATCGGTAGTATTTATTTACGGTGCTGATAACTCCTTCTGATACGATAGACTAGCGGACTAGACTGTTTAGCAGTTCCGTTAGCGTTCTTTCCATTCGCGTGTGATGATAAGTGCCCGCAGATATTGGCTCTCACTCCCACTCCTTATGCCGCTGATTACATTTCATACTCGCATGCTGCTTCTTCATATTTATTTTCCTTCCTCTTAAGCTTCATCTTCGTGCTGTTCTCCTTCCACTTGACCACTACGTGCCCTCTCTTATCTCGGCTGCTTTGCTCATTAAGTGCTGGCCGGCTCGAAGGTATAAAAGTTCAAAGGTTTGGCGCTTGGACTCTCTGAGTACACTAATTGGTTTGCCGTTGCATATGCCCAACGGTTTATGATAATTGCTTGGCCGAAGCCTTACCTTACCTCACAATATATCTTGGCCGGCGCTCAGTTGCTTTTGTTATTTTGGTTTTTTTTTGTTTTGCTCAGCACTTGAAACACACACGCACGCACACACACACAGTCAAACAAAAAAAGCAGCTTGCTATCACTTGTTGCTTTTGTCGCGTCCATCGCAGTCGCTGTTTCTGCTGCTGCTGCTGCTGTTTCTGCCGCTGTTTTTGCCGCCCGTACGTACGCGTTTTGAAAAATTCCGTATTGAAATTGAAATTCAAATGGAACCCTAGCTTTATTTTCAATTGCACACTCGACCAGCTCGCTTCGTTCTGTCGTGCTGTTCCTCTGCTGTTTTCTGTTCTCCCCGCTGTTTTCCCGCTCAACTTTCCAGCGACAATAAACGCGCGCGCGTTTCTCAAGTGAAAAAATTAAAACAATTAACAAAGAAATTTAACAAAATTAACCCCTATTCTTATTCGCGCAAGTGTTTCTTTTGGAATTGTTTACAATGACATCTGGCATCAGGCCCATTGATGTTTTGCTTCAGCGTGCCGGTGTAAGTTCTCAAAGTCGAGCCCGTAACACTCTTCGTAAGACGATATTTGGGCCAAGTTCGAGACGTCAATGAGCCACATAATCGTTTAAGTGTAAACTGTTTTTAAGTGCTTATCGAACGAATTTGATTTAAAAGAAACAGTTTTTCGATAGAAAAGCGAAATTTCCGGCTAAGAGCAATGTTTTTAGAGGAAGGTTTTGGGACTACGACAGACCTATGTAGATTCTGGGAAACTTATCAAAAAAGGAAGACGACTCTCTTTGATGATTGTTCACTGATTTTGTTCTTTGAAACCATGCAAACAATGTTTGTCGTCTAAATTTCCGTTGTAAGAATTATGTGTTTCTGTAAGCAGTGAGATACAGTAATGACTTGCCCTGCCTCTTAGTTCGTATCTTATCTCCAGGCAGACAAAGAGAACACAAAAAAAATCGCATAATTTACTTTAATTACCGGATCCCCAGACGTGTGTGTGTCGTGTGTTTTAGAGGGGCTGGTTGGTTGGTAACCTGCCGAAACAGCTGTGTTTTCCAACTCGGAAATGATTTTTGGGGATCAACAACCACACGGTTGCTTGATAATGGAATGCACAAGAGGCACCACAAAGGCAGTGAGACAGTGACAGAGGGTAGCAGTAGCATCATTCGTTGGACAATTATCTTGAGCATGTTTTGACCTTGTCGAAGTTCAAACACCTGCCCTCTGACACCGTCTTATCGCACAGATTGCTCATCATCAGCACCATTGTTGGATGTTAATAAAAATAAGCCCCATGCAATCGTCTGCCATCTTGGGCGCCATAGGCGTGGCACTTGTTTTTCACTACACTCCATTAATTTGCGTAATCATTTCATTAAACAAAAACGAAAAACGATTGCAGCAATCTTTTTGTTTTATGTTTGCACAATTCGATTGCATTTTTTGCCCACTCTGATTGACTGATTGACAGACGACACGGGGACAGGCCTCAATCGAAATATTCGCCAAAAATAAGTGCGAGCTATTTTCAGACAAAATTGTTTGGTTATCTTGGGAGTTGTGTGTATTTCTCTGTCAAATATGTAGATATTGGGGTAACCTTGTGGGTGAAGTTCAAGGTCGCACCAACTATAAGTATATGTACCCATACTTATACAACGACAAACTGCTGTCAATATGCTTTTTTATGGATTGCATGTCTTATGAAATAACTATCATTAATGGCTGGAGGTCACAAATGTGTGAGCATGCGTTGGTTGGGTAAGGTTATGGCTAGAACTTGGCACTAGTAATGGTATTCTTCTCTTTGTTCTAACATGAAATGAAACGCCAAACGAAATGAAATTCATGAAATACATATGTTTGATCTTATCGATGATATTTTGATTGCCTCACGCAGACGCAGATAGGGCAGGGCGTATACGTGACGTAAAAATATCACCCTGATTATGGCGCTTTTAGATTACACATTTAGGAGCTCACCTCATAACTAGCGAAATTATTCAAGGTAATGTGAGGGAGTGATTGAGATTAGCTATCACATCCCCCAAAGCTAAATGTTACACAAGGAAATTGCACCAGACTAGAGGTCGTTTCATGGTACATTACGCCAGACTCTCTGCTCTGGAAAACTAATTACGCCTGAGGATCCGGACGGGCTTATCTCTGGGATCATCCCGCAAACAAATGTTCGAATGTCAAACTCATAATATAAATAGCTAAATAGTCGGGGGATTTATTGATTAGAGCCAAAAGGTTGCCCTTGTTTTGATTTTCTAAAATTAATACTCATTCGTCGTTGCATTCCTGGGGCATGTGTCATTGAAGCGCGTCTCGCAGCCGGCACTGTGCTCCCTGAAGTCCTTCAGGCTGGGCAGATACTTGAAGAATATTCCCTTGTTGAAGTAGCTTTGATTATCCTGCTCCTCTGGCAGCTCGGGCTCCCCAGCCAAACGCTTCTGCAGGGAGTTCTGCATGCCCCAAATGATGGGCTTGCTCTTGCACATGAGCATTTTCAGGCAGCCGGCCTCGTGGCCCATCTCTCGGTCCTCCTTCGACTCGATCATGTCCAGTATTTGTTCGGGCAGATCCTTATCCATGATGCGATCCAGCAAACGTTTGCTGTGCGCCCCCGGTCGCTGGAGGAACCAATCTATGGGCGAACCCAGAGACAAGTCACGCGGCTGATGATCGTTTGGTTCGTACAGCGCCTCAGGTCCCTCGAAGGCCGCTCCGGCATTGGCGACATTTCCTCCACCCCTTGTGGCCTGCATCAACGTGCTGCCAATCTGCCAATCAATTTGAAAAATTATCAAAAAACTGTACAAACATTCGCAGAAAACAACAAAAAGAAATTGATTGTGTTCAAACATTACGTTTTGGTACATTTTGAGGGAAATTAAATGTTCTCAAACTTTAAAGTTTGCTACTTTCTGAGAATGTCTAACCTTATCAAACATATACCTACCGCCTGGGCAATCATGATGAGTGCATTAAGTGCCAGAGCGCCCAGTTTGCGGGCATCAAAGCCCACCATTCGCAACATATTTGTCAGCATTTGTCCGCTATCAAAGTTGGCCAGAAACGGTGGAGGCCTGCGAGTATTGTCCTCCTCCTGTGGCGGCTCCTCCTGGGCATTCTCTGGCTCCGGCTGCTGCTCCGATTGATCCTCCTGCTGATAGTCTGGCGGCTGAAAGCCGTGCTGTAGGATGTTCATCAAACCAGAAGGCTTTCCCCGGGAGAAGGCTTGGGCCACCAGATTGGCCACATCGGCGGCCGTATTAATGCCAAACATTTGTCCGGCCATCTTCAAGCCATCGCCCAAGTTATCCATGACTGTGCTGGCAGAGAGGGCCTCCTTGGCGCCCACATACAGCAGAAGGCACAAAAATAGCCAGCGACTTGTCATCGCGAAGTTTCAGGGAATACTGCTGTGAGGTCTTTAGCAGCGCCATCGTCTGGATGAGGGAGCACAAGCTCTAATTGGAGTCTTACGAAAGCCACTGAATTTTCCTCTATATTTTTGTCACTTGACTGCCTGTCGATGCGCTTTGCTGCCTGCCTTAAGCGATTTGTCACGAAAGTTTCGCCAAGTGTAAACAACTTTACTTTGATATATTTCTTTGCAGGTGCGTGGCCACCAGCGTGTGCCCTCCGATTCGAAGGAGTTCCATGAGGTGACCAAGCGGGATGCACTGCGGCTGCTGGAGAACGATGTCGATCGTCTGCTGCAGACAACGGAGGAGGTGCGGCGGCCAGCCCTGAAGGCGGAGATGGGACGCTTTGCGGATCTCTTTGGACGTTTTCTGCAGGAGGGTAAGTTGAGGCAAGAGAACACCCCTTTGATTAACTTGCTAATGCTTTTGTGCCTTGCAGAGGGTCCCGCTTTGGACTGGAACAAGATTCAGAAGCTGCCCGAGAATGCTGTGATGAATTATTCGAACCTCAAGTCGCCCAAGAATGAGCAGGTATGCAGCTGGCAGCCAAGGATTGAGTCCACTCTTTCCCCCACTCCATGAATCTCCCTCACAGAAAACAAAGAAAACAAAACGGATTAAGAAAATGTGTTAATTTTTTGTTTAATTTGCATATTTTTCATGTTCTTTGATTTCGAATACTGATTATGAATACCCATTGTTGCCCTCATAAACTGCGGCGCAATTCTCTGGCTAATAACTGGCCACAAACACACAATCACACATATATATATATATTGTTTATATATGTTTCAATAGAATGAGGTAAAAGCGTTAAACTTTATCCTTAAACAAAACCTCCTCTCTACGCTTCGCTCTACTATTTCTCTCTGTACTTGGAGCACTGCTCGAACGAAAACTAACTCTTATTGGGCTTTTGGACGCTTACTTAGTTGTTGATTATATTCCTTTAGTTTAGTTATTTGTAACTAGAACACGCTGTAGTACTAAACCCTAATGAAATTCGGCGCTCACTGCAGCTTAACCCAATTCCTTTTTGCTCTCTAACACAAGCCATGCCTCTCTATCTATGTTTCTGCAACTAATGATTCATTGGTGACTCCCTTAGATACGCAATATGCTGGACAAATTGGTGGTCATTAAGCTGAATGGTGGTCTGGGCACCTCCATGGGCTGCCATGGACCCAAGAGTGTCATACCTGTGCGCTCCGATTTGACCTTCTTGGATCTGACGGTGCAGCAGATCGAGCATCTGAACAAGACGTACGATGCCAACGTGCCGCTGGTGCTGATGAATTCCTTCAACACCGACGAGGACACCGAGAAGATTGTTCGCAAATACAAGGGTTTCCGCGTGCAGATACACACCTTCAATCAGAGCTGCTTTCCGCGCATCAGTCGCGAGCATTTCCTGCCCGTGGCCAAGGACTTTGATGTGGAGAAGGATATGGAGGCGTAAGTTTACTCTTTAGACTCCAATTTGTAGTACGTTTTACTCAGGCAACTCCTTCTTCTCCCTTTTAGTTGGTACCCACCTGGCCACGGTGACTTTTACGATACTTTCCGCAACTCTGGGCTGCTGAAGAAGTTCATTGAGGAGGGCCGCGAATACTGTTTCCTCTCCAACATTGACAATCTGGGCGCCACCGTGGATCTGAATATACTCAATAAGCTGGTGGGCGAGGAGCGGGCCACCACCCCCGTGGAATTTGTCATGGAAGTTACCGACAAGACGCGCGCTGATGTCAAGGTGCGTACCGATAATGGAATGTTGTGTATAAATGACTAATCTTCCATCTGTTTTTCCCCTCCAGGGTGGCACTCTCATTCAGTTTGAGAACAAGCTGCGGCTGCTGGAAATCGCTCAAGTGCCGCCAGAGCATGTGGATGACTTTAAGTCGGTGAAGACCTTCAAGTTCTTCAACACCAACAACATTTGGGCCAATCTAGCATGTATGTCAAACCATTTATCTCTTCAAATATCACTGCCTAAAATGCTGCTTTGTTTCTTTCCCGTGTGCAGCCATCGAGCGTGTCTTGCGTGAGCGCACCTTGAGCATGGAAATTATTGTCAACAACAAAACGCTGGAGACGGGTCTGCGTGTCATTCAGCTGGAAACGGCTGTGGGCTCGGCCATGAAGTGCTTTGATGGCGCCATTGGCATCAATGTGCCTCGCTCGCGCTTCTTGCCCGTGAAGAAATCCTCCGATTTGCTGCTGGTCATGTCTAATCTCTACACGCTGAAGAATGGCAGCCTGGTGATGTCGCCGCAGCGCATGTTCCCCACCACGCCGCTGGTGAAGCTTGGCGAGAATCACTTCTCCAAGGTGAAGGAGTTTCTGGGTCGCTTTGCCAACATACCCGACATTATCGAGCTGGATCACTTGACGGTCAGTGGTGATGTTACCTTTGGCCGTGGTGTTTCTTTGAGGGTAAGTTTTGAGAGAGAAAATGCTTTGGCTTATCCTTGACTTATTTGTGTTCAATTTAATCCTTTAGGGCACTGTGATTATCATTGCCAATCATGGAGATCGTATTGATATACCCGCCGGCGCCATACTGGAGAACAAAATTGTGTCTGGCAACATGCGCATTCTGGACCATTAATCGAACCTCTAACCTGGCAATTGGTTGTGCAATTGGATGCTGTTCTGTCTCATTATATATGTAGTGTAATTTACTAAGTTTTATGTAGTAGTAGGCTGCCCGTTCCCTGTTTCAAATTTACGAATCACGAATTTCACTTGTTAGCCAAATTGTTGTGCAAGCACAAAGTGTGTGTCTGCCCTGACCTGTCCTGCCCTGCCAGTCGATCGTTCTGTATATATCGTTAAGCTAAAGCTAAAGTTTTACAAAAATCTGCTTGCAAAAATGTTAGAAATGTTAGTCAAAAAGTTCAAACGAGAAGCTGTTAAACACTCATTAAAGGCATGTTTATTTCTATAATAAGTACGAGAGGTTCTTAGATCTAGTATCACTTGATAAATGGCACTGGTATTCCCTGCCTGTTTCGCCTACTTCCCTTCTTTTATGTTGCATTGTCTGTCAGCGTATAGTTCTTGCTAATGTGACCCCATTTGATGCCTTGTTGTATGAGTTCCAGTGCCAGCTTTTTATTGCTCGCTGTGGCACCCACAAAGCCCACCACTAGCTCATTCGTGGTAGCATTGTGATCCTGTTCTGACTCGCAACTTTGATCCCAGCCCCTGCCCTCGTAGATGTTTGTGTCGCCGGCAATCACAAAGTTGTAATTGATGTCCGTGTAGCCGCTGCTCTCGATGTGAAACGTTTGCAGCAGTCGCACACGAAAAACGCATTCAGCTTGGGTGCTGCAAGCGGGTGAAACAGTGGACTCAAAGCGTACGCTCTCCACGGGCAGCTGGAGAGAAGGCAAAGCCCGGCCCGCTGGCTGTGCCAGCCAGTAGGCGCGTGTCACAAACTTCAGTGTGGCGTTTCCCAGCAGGCGCACTGCAAACAAAATAAAGATACATTATGCATTGTAATTATACATCCCCAGATGCGCTTACATTCCGTCACATCCTGTGTCCAGCGTGGCCAGTGCTTGATCAACTCGAAGAGCCTCTGGCCGGGACTCTCCGTGGGACTGAGCTGGCGATGTGCGAAGATGTGATAGTCCGGATGCAGCTTGTGCAGGCGCACACCCTCGGTCATCAGCCGCTTGGCCGCCTCCACCTGCCGCACTGGCGGCTCCACATTCACGAAGGTGCCAATGAAGGCAATGCTGATGGACACCGCATTATAGCCGCGCACATGCTGTCCCTGATGATGCCAGCCACGTCCCACATAGATCTGCCCATCGCCGCCCACCAGAAAGTTGTAGCCAATGTCCAGCCAGCCGAGGGATTTCATGTGAAAGCCCTGAATGGTCTGCATGCGATAGATGCAAATTTCCTACAGAAAGTTTTGGGAATTTCATTAATGAAACAACGCAGAGGGGTTTACCTTTTGTTACTCACTTCTGTTTCGCATCCCTCGGTGGCTGTGTGACTGATAATTACATTGGAAATGGGCAGCTTGAGGTGTTCGGGCTTGGAGCTCGGTGGTTCCCCCTGCCACTCGCTGCGGTCCAATATGTGCAGATTTTTATTCGAGTTCATTGGGGCATGGGCTAAATCCGGAAAAATAATTATTAACCACCGATATTATAGATTGATTTCTCACTCACCCATCATCCAATAGGAGTAACCAGCAGCCAGTGCCACCGTCATCAGCAGAAACACACATAGAAATATCAGCTCCCGGGGGAATCGCTTTATATTTGTCTCTCCCCCAGCTTCGGGATTGTTTTGCGTTTCGAGATTAGTTTGCGCGGGCTTCTGCATTTTATGGGTGTCTACTCAAGACAACTGCGCGACGGGAACTAAATGAAACGGAGTCCGGCCACCACTTGTTGTTGATCTCCCCAACAAGTTCTGCTCGTTTTGGGGTTTTATTTTTACTTTTACTGGTACTGGGAGATGGGAAAAATCCCCGGCTCCGAACTGCGTCGTGGCAGCAAGATCACATAAAGAGCTTTTTGATAAGTGTCTTTACAAATAAACTCACACACACCACTTGGATGCTTATATATTGGCATGTCTCTGGCCATTAAAAGCTCTCTAACAATATAGGGTGTTCGCTTTTGGCACTACAAGTTGAGCGAACTCCAAACGCCGCCCACTTTGAAGAGGTGTACCACTCTCTTAGAGCTACTGAAGAATTGGGAATCCCCTTGGCATTGATGGGGCGTCTACAACCTGCTTTCAAATGCTGCGTAGATGATTTAGCAGATGGGCATCGAGGCTACAAATGAAATGGCAATTAAGTCACGTTTTCCACTGCGAAATCAGAGATTTCTTGGATTCCCATTATCAGGCAGGGTCCCAAGTGGGTCAACCCCCCGTTTGATTGAAAAAAGTGTAATTAATCGCTTTTGCTTTTTGCATTTGCTTTTGCTTTTCATATAATATCACATTTTCATCAGATTTCGAGTAAGTCTAGAGCTAATTCACATATGCCACATACATTCAAGAGGGGAGAGTTGAGGGAAGGGAGAGAAACTATATTACAATATCAAATGTTGAGTGCTAGTAAATGGCTTAAGCTAGTCACGACCAGTGGCTCCAATTGCCAAAGCTCTGGTACAGTTGCTCGGCCTTGTATTCCGTGATGCTGGGCTCCAGTTTGCTGGCCCCCGTCAGCCGATAATTGGGTGAAATCTTGCCCAGACTGACGCCACGCTCCAGCAGCAACTTGGTGACGCTGAGCTGCTTGGCCGACGGCTTCTGGTTCTGGAACGATCCAATGTACGCGAAGCTCAGGCTCCTCGTATTGTAGCCGCTCATGTGGGCGCCCACCTGGTCCCAGCCGCGACCCACGTACACATTTCCATCGCCGCCAAGCACAAAGTTGAAGGCAATATCGTCCTCCTGCAGCGACTCAATGTCGAAGGTCTGGCGCAGGCGCACGCGCAGCACACACTGCGCCTGGGTGGTGCAGTTGTCCGAATTGGTGGGCAGAACGATGACCAGGGAGACGGGCAGCGTGAGATCGGGCAGGGTCTTCTGCGGCGGCTGGGCCAGCCAGGCTTGGCGGTGAACAAAACGCAGGATGAGGCCGCCGCCAATGTTGTCTTGATCTGGGAGAGAGTGTGGGCTCTGATTAGAGATTGCATTTGGCGTATGTGAATGGTGTTTAGTGTTGGTAAGCGTCGGGTTGTGCGGTGTATATTCCTCATGCTCCAGTGTGGGTTAAGGAATGAATGTGCTGGTTAGGGTTTAACTTTAGGAACCAGTGTTAGTTAGAGTTTGTATTTTGGAATTAATGGGCTAACGGTTAGCAACTTTAGGAACTAGTGTTGGTTAGGATGTACCTTTAGGAACTAGTGTGGGCTAGTGTTAAATCATGTTTTCTATTTGTTTAAATGTTTATTAAATTTTCCTTGATTAAATACAGAAATAACATTTATTTATAACACATTTTGCTTTGTCCTTTCAACATCTTCCCAGTGCGGCCACGTCTTTATAATCTTGTAGACCTCATCCCCAGGGCTCTTGGTGGCCACCAGCTGTCGGTGTGCGTAGAGCTTGTAGTCTGGCTTGAGCTTCTTCAGGCGCACGCCCTCCTCGATGAGCAGCTGACACGCACGAAGTTGGGCCGCTGTCGGCTTGATTTTGTCAAAACTGCCCATGAAAGTGATGCCAATGCTGTCCCTGTTGTGCCGCAGCGCATGGGCTCCCTGTATATCCCAGCCACGTCCCTCGTAGACGCGTCCATCGCCACCAACCATGAAATTGTAGCCCACCTGATCCCAATTGAAGCTATCCATGTGATAGCTTTGGGTGACTCTCGCACGATACGAGCAGACTTCCTGCAGAGCGTGGAGATGTCAAGGAAAGTTCCTGGCAGTCGTTATTCAGTTCCACTCACCAGCGACTCACAGCCCTCGGAGGCGGTGTGAGAGATGATCACACGGGAAACTGGCAGCTTGAGCAGATCGGGCTTACCTCGCGTTGGCATGCCGCCCCAGTCCTTGATTTTGATCAGCTCCAGAGCGCCATCCGTCACAATATCAGCTTCAGCTAGAATCGAGAGATATTCTTGAGTCGCTTGGGGAATCGTGGAGCATTGTAAGGCAGAGTACATACATGTCAGACATATTCCATTCAACTCAACTTTAGGCAACACTTTTAGGACACTTTTTGACAGAAAGACTGGCACATTGGACACGACCGGAACGGGTTAACGAAGACCGGACAGGAACGAATGAATGAGTGTGGAAATGAAAATGCAATGGGACATTTTTCCTTGTGTGTGTGTAGATAGACTCTTATTCAAAATAGATAATACATTAGCCATTCCAGTAAACAATTAAAACTTAACCTAAACTTAAACTTGGAAACTTAAATCTCGTGCGACCAATGTGGCCACTTCTGTATGATTTTGTACAGCTCCTCGCCGGGACTCTCGGTGGCACTCAGCTGTCGATGCCCGTACAACCGAAAGTCGGGAGCCAACATCTTGAGTCGCACTCCCTCGGCAATTAGCAGTTGGCAGGCTTTGAGCTGTCGCTCCGCTGGCCTCACAGTCGTAAAGGTGCCAATGAAGGAGATGCCTATGCTGCCTCTGTTGTAGCCTTTGGTGTGCGCACCCACACGATCCCAGCCGCGTCCCTCGTAGACGCGTCCATCGCCGCCCACCAGGAAGTTATAGCCAATGTGATCCCAGCCCCAGCTGTCCATGTGAAAGAATTGCACAACCTGCGTGCGTTTCGAGCAGATTTCCTTGGGATGGCAGGACAAGGCACACATTGAACATAAACATTGATGGTATTAATGGATCCCGTAATTGGACTTACCCTCGATTCACAGCCTTCGGCGGCGGTGTGTGAGATGATAACACGCTGCACGGGCAACTCCAAGGCTTCGAGAATGGTCTTGGGTGGTCTACCACCCCATTCTGCCACTTTGAGCATGACAAAGGTGCCATTGTCGATGACATCAAAGTCGGCTGCACATGGAAATGATCGTGGATTAGCAATGGATCGCCGCTTGATTCACTCTCTCTCTCTCTCTTTATATTCCATTCAATTTAACACGAGGTAACACTTTCAGTTCATTTACTGCAGCATCTTTCACTTCACAACACTGTTCGTACAGCGTACAGTTGCGCGCGTTTTAGGTAGCAATGTTAGGAGCATTTGAGTTTTCCCCACCAATTCTGTGTGTTTAGTTATGTATTGTACATTGAATGTGCATTAGTTTCAGAATTGTTAGACATGCAAGAAGGGTATGTGGAGGGTTTAGTGTTGGTCATGGGGATTAGGAAGCACACGCACACGCATAAGACTTAATTTGAGGACAAAAAACTGTACCTATTGTTGAATTGATTGGAATATTTAGTCGGGAATCGTCGAGTACATCACCGAGCTTACTTTTGTTCAATGTCTTGCCAAAGATGTTCGTTGTGGTGGCCAATATGATGCCCAATAGTGTTGTTAACAGCACGAATGCCACCGTTATGCTGATGGCCTTGCGACTTATGGTATTTGGCAGATACGGACAGAGCATGGGCGCCTGCTGCCCCTCATCATCTAGCTTGGAACCTACAAAAGAATGGAAGGAAGGAAGGGTCAACGTGTGTTCTCAAAGTTTGTGGCTTTTCTTGCAGTCTCTTACGCTGCTCTAACATCTCCAATCTCTTTTCGTGCTGCCTGAGACTCTGCTCCAGCCATTTGCTCAACTGCAATGAACTCTGATTCTGTTGCTGATTCTGACTACTGCCCAAACACCCATCACAACGCCAGCTCAAATTGGGTATTGTCTCCAGCAGTTGAAGCTGTTCCGAGCTTAGACCCGTGCAGTGTCTGTGGAACAGACGTCCACATCGACCATTATCACACTCGATTCGATTGTGGTTGGGTGCAATTAATCCACAGCACTTGCTGCAACTTCCGTGCATGCCGTTCAACATTCTCCGATCGTTTCAAATTAGCAACTGAACTGAGCTCTGATTTTGGCATTCAGGCAGGGTACTTTTTTATTGTTGTGCCAAGTGCGTGCCACATTGCTCCCGCTCTTGTTGTTTATTTAGCAGGAAAAAACCCCCTGTGTACACGCTCCATTTATTACCTCAGAAATGGGGAAGTACCTTACTAGGGTTCTGTTTAATTAAAGCTGCTAACTAAACGGGCACTAAGTCGCTGCTCCGTCTCGACTGTTTGCGTATACAGCGAGCGGGAATTTGATTTTTCTTTAGCTCATTTCATTATGGTAATTGTGAAAACGAATCAAGTAAACAAATGGGGAACAAAACTGCGTGGCAGACCTTGAATTTTCTGCAATTCAATTTCAATTTTTGTGATGGATTTTTATGTCTTATTGAACACCCAAAAAAATATCCAATTTTTCTTTTGTGAATGAAGCTGGAAATTGTTTCCTTTTCATAAAGTTTTCTTCGCTGCAATGTAGCTGTGCTCTTTTTTGCTCTGCTACTTGTACAAAATACTATTTGTTGTATGTTTGTTCATTGTATGTGTTTGCGGCCATCTGGTAATCTACGTTTCGCAGCACAATCATTAAAGTCTTGAGTAAACAAATTGCACGCGTTCAATATATTCCCCCAATAAAGCAAACAGAACACAGAACAGAGCCAATCGAAGGTGAAGACAGAGCAGAGGAATGTGTTACTCGGGCAACAGGAAATTATAGATAGACCCACTCTAGATCTACGCCACTTACCCGCTGCAGCGCCATTTGTTTGTGGGCGACCATTGAAGGCGGGATTATCCTGGCCATCTGCGCCGCCACCCTCGCCCGGTTTCCACTTGTCCCGATTGTCGATGAGAAACTGTTGTATCGTGACGGGTCCCTCGTAGAAGTGCTTGTCCCCGAAGGTCACATCTGT